CCGTGTGTAAGCCCTTATTTATTTATTTAAAAACAAAATGTGTTTATAAGCATTAATTCTGAAAAATTATTTAACCTAAAGAGGACAGCTTACATATATATGTATGATATTTTTGTCAATATTAATATATGTGTAAAACTTGGGCACTGTGGTAGTAACTAATTCCATATTAGTTTGTTTATTAGATGTTTCACACAGTGGAACAGTATTATTTATTGGATGATGTTTCGAACAAAATTTATCACCGTTCATAATCATATCAACTGTAATCACACGACTTCGAAACTTGAGTTTTATAGTTTTCTTTGTCCTCTCCTATTTGTCGTCATTGGGATAGTAGAATTTTCCAGATGTTCGGATGGACAGGTGTTGAATCATTCCTATTACATGTGTTTGCTGTTGATTCGATAAACAAAGCTTCTGCTGTTATCTGTCTCTTCCTCCACCCTGTGACACTGGATTTTAAAACTGTTATCCTATCCCATCCATCCTAATGTATGGTTGTGTGTGATTGCATGTAGGGAGTGCTACAGCTGAACTATTCTCTAGATTTCTTATCTTATTCGGGTCAACTAATCTAGATTTTGCTGCTAGGTTTCTATGCTCGCTAAGACTGACTGCCCCTGTTCTACTAGTTTGACCTATGTATTTGACCTGACAATCATTGCAGGTAGGGTATTAGATAAACTAAATTGTTTTGTTTCAAAGGTTCCACCGGATTGATTCTTTAACCGACAAAGAAAGTTTCTAATTGATGTTGTGGGTTTTTTTGTTTAACAATACTTTGAATGTTTAACAAATTGAAATTTCTCTCTAGACCATCTGTCTTCGTCCTCCTTCCATGTATGCATATAAGATTTTGGTTCATTGTATAACCATTTTCTGCGTCCTTTGGAACTAAACTGTATGAATGACAACTGATAAATTCACACCACATAGTATAATGTCTGCAATAACTGAAAGATAATGAAAGATCTACAGTAGACTAAGTTTTATATTTGAATTTATGGAAAGTCGACCAGGTTGTCAATCTTTCAAACACAATCTTTCACACAGTGAAACAGTATTATTTACTGGATAACGTTCATTCAAACAGATATTTCAACTTCCGATCATCCCATCCTATGTCAGTAAAAATAGGATTGGTGAAATGTTTAAGTGACAGAGCATAAAAGCTAAGTAGTACCAAGGAAAATCTAAGACAGGAAGTGAGGCATATAAGAGAAGCTTTGAAACTTATTAATTACCCTGATAAATTAGTCAGGAAATATGTAGGGAAATGTAAAAATAAATAATAATAGTAGTGATAGTGATAATAATAATATTAATGATGACATGCATGTCAAACATGCGCAAGATAATGACGACACCAACAATAAGGAATCTAAATCATCAGTAGTAATTCCATACAAGGAAGGAACCTCGGAAACCTTACGCAGAATTCTTAACAAGGCAGGAATAAAAGTGACTGGCATTCAAACCCACAAACTCAATTACAAACAAGCTTTGTAGGTTAAAGGATCCTGTGGAGCCTTTAAAACAAAACAATTTAGTTTATCTAATACCTTACCTGCAATGATTGTCAGGTCAAATACATAGGTCAAACTAGTAGAACAGGGGCAGTCAGACTAGTGGAGAATAAAAACCTAGCAAAATCTAGGTTAGTTGACCCGAATAAGATAAGAAATCTAGAGAATAGTTCAGCTATAGCACTCACCACATGCAATTACACACAACCATACAATAGGATGGGATAAGATGACAGTTTCAAAATCTAATGTCACAGGGTGGAGGGAGAGATTGATAACAAAGGAGGCTTTGTTTATCGAATCAACTGCAAATACATGTAATAGGAATGATTCATCACCTGTCCCAGATATCTGGAAAATTCTACTACCCCAACGACGACAAATAGGAGAGAACAAAGAAAACTATAAAACTCAAGTTTCGAAGTCGTGTGATTATAATTGATATGATTATGAACAATAAATTTTGTTCGAAACGTCATCCAGTAAATAATACTGTTTCACTGTGTGAAGCATCTAATAAACAAACTAATATGGAATATATATATATATTTCTTCAATACTTTGATTGGACACTAGTCACTGACTACTGTAGTGTATCTAGTCCTTTCTTTGGTGCAAACTGAATTCTATCTGTCAAGTTTGCAATGTGGCAATCAACCATGCTAGGTGGCTCGCCGTCACGGTGGATGGTTGGAGACAATCAGCCACAGGAAGCCTTGAATGCTTAGGTTTCGTGCTAGTTGGCACTCACCAATTAGCAAGGTGTATCTGCAACCTTGAAGGAACAACTCATATCCCTTCTGAGGAGATTCGAACCCGCATCACCCAGTGAGCGCTGCAGTCAGAGACGTTACCACTGAGCTATTCAAAATGGAAACGATACACTAGTTACTGACTAGTGTCCAATCAAAAGTATGCAATACAGTCCTAGAAGAGGTCAGTCGCGAGCCCCGAAAGCTCAGTGTTAACGTCTCTGACTGTAGCACTCACTGGGTGATGCAGGCTCGAATCTCCTCAGAAGGGACATGAGTTCCTTCCGCCCTCCTGATGAGTGCTAACTAGCACGAAACCTAAGTGGAATGCTTCCTGTGGCCGATTGCCTCCAACCATCTAACATCAACAATATAGTTATCCCAGTTACATAACAATTAGTAAAAACCTGTGAAGATATGATATGATATGCAGCTAATATATGGCTCTTTATATAAATACCATCGTAGCATACTTCATAATTCAAAGATCATAACAACTTACAACAGTTCATACAAAATAGCTGTCCTGATGCATACGATTATTGTCATTATATTATTGTTCTCTTGGATTTCAAGTGGAACATAGAGCTTCAGTAGAACATCTTCCCTTTATCCCACTCCCCACGGTCCCCTTTAGTTGGCCTCAAAAATATCCATAGTCTCTCGTCTTCTCTTCAACAATACGGTCTCCTCCATGTTACCCTCAGATCTACACCCAACTCATCGTTTCCCATTCGGGTTCCAATAGAGCGATGTGCTGGTGCGTGATATCCTTCAACGGTCTCCTTAGAGTGTGTCTGATCCATCTCCGTTTTCTCTGGAATATTTGTTCGGCAGTAGGTTCTTGGTTAGTTCGTTCCCCGAGTTTCTGGTGGGCCAGCCATCTAGTGTTCAGTATACAGCCAGCGAAGTTGGCAGCTATTGATAAAGGTCTGCAGCAACCTGTTGGAAGTGCTTTTTGGGAGTGAGGTGTAATGCAAGTTTATTACTCATATCGAAGAAGTGACTGACTCGACACTAGTGTTGAAAGTCCGATTTTTTTCAAGTGTTGGTTTGTAGGGATTTGATTGGTTACAGAATTTCATCATGAGCTGACATCAGTTAGAGAACCATTGGTAACCATTACCTGGGAGTACTGGATAGCTGTTTCCTCCGCTCTAGTTGGGGACTCTTCAGCAGTACGCAACCACCGGGATTCGAACCCAGAACCTTCTGGTTACAAGACCAGCGAGCTTGTAGACCACTAAGCCACTGGGACCCGATCCAATGGCCCATGAATTCTGACTTCTGCCAATTCACGACATAGAGCGACCCCTAGCCAATGTCTTTGGCGAGTATTTGTCCTCACACCCGACCCGCTGCACCCTACTGTTCACGACTTCTCACTAGCGGCGGTGGTTGGTTATCTTCATCACCTCCGTCGTCTCTACATTCACTTAAATTCCCGTCTTCGCTGCCTGTCAGCCTCTTCGGCCAATTTGCTGGTTTCTACCTGTAGATGTTCGAGCTTGTATGACACTAGACATAAATCATCTGTGAAATCCAGATCTTATAGAGTCTTCTTGTCGATCCAACATATTCGCGTCTTCTCTCTCTCCATCTCCACTCACAGTGTGACGCATAATCCAGTCCAACACAATTATGAATGTCATAATTGGTGGTAATGCGCAGCCTTGTCTTACACCTGTATTCACTTCAAAAACATCACTGAATGTTTTCACTTATCGATCACTTGAAATATGGAATGATACTGATAAACGTTTGGGACACTCCATAGTGTTGAAGGAATTCTCACTGCTGCCGAATAGCTTTTCAAATCCTAGGTAGAGGCTTGATTTTCATTCAGTGCTCTGTCCTATGATGATAGGCAGCGTTGTAATTTGATCCGCTCATGATTTCCTCCTCCTGAATCCAACTTATTCCAAGAGAAGGGGAGGCGTTCTGCATCCAGTGCATCTTTTATTCTCTTCAGGATGACGTGACTTAATCAATATGGCACGCCAGTTCTTGCAAAGGCGTAATTTACCCTTCTATGGTAGTATGGTAAATTAGCCATTCTTCCAATTAGCAGGTACCTTTCCTTCCTTTCAAAAGTTTTGCAATATTGGCGACAGTATATGCGCTGCGATCTCTGGACCAGTTTCCAGTGCTTCTGGAGGAACTCCGTCCAGTCCTGCTGCCTTCAGTAGCTTGATTCCATTCAAGACTTCTATTTTAGGTTAAATGACATGACACTCTGTCAAGGAACTTAACCCTAAGTTCCTATTATTTGCGAAGACGCTCCGAATCGATAATTACTACGACCGCTTCTCGACTTTAACTCCACAACACTACGACTTGTAAGAAAGAAGTTGCATTGTTTGGCGATTAAAATCGAGGTTAGTACAGAGTCTGCAAATAAATGTTTTACAATAAATATACTGTACTTTTATTCGTATTCTTTCGTCTTCTTCCAACTTGTACACTACTGGACCATTCACGCCTTCGAGTTGCCCGCCAATGGCAACCAAGGCCAATGAACCAACGTTCAATGTTCACGTCCATTTACACACTCATTTATTTAAGGCTGAATATCAATTATTGATCTTCATCCTTGAAAATTATGACACTTTTTTAAAATTATTGTTTAACCACTTTTTTTCTACAATCCATGATATCTGAGATAATTCACCTCCTCCCACCGCCCTTTTTTTTCTGTCTTCACTTTGGTATATTTTAGAATTCAAAGCTATCCATCGCATTCTTTATCTCGAGTACGTACGCATGCAGTATTCCAACATACATTCAACCTGTGGTCAAGAGTAGTGAATTTAGATTTTATTGAAGAAAAAGATTATTATAAACCAGCGGATATTGTGATAAGATTTGGTGCTGGGAAGCATGGGGATTCAATACCATTCGATGGGGCAGGTCAGTGAATTCAATATATTCCATCTATACACTACCTTTTATTCTACAAAAATTTAACTTCCTAAAATGTTTTTTACGAGTTGATCATGGATTGACTGATATCAGTTTGAGAATAATTGGAAACAAACAGCTGGGAGGACTGGACAGCTGTTTCATCAGCCTAGTTTGGGAATCATTGGCAGTACGCACCCACTACCATGGTTCGAGCTCAGGACCTGCTGGTCACAAGACAAGCTCGTATGCCATTCAGCCATCACTCCAACCAGCCCATGAATTCTAACCCCTACCAGTTCGTGATGAGTTTAGCGTGACCACTAACGAATGCCATTGGTGGGACATTCATCCTCACACTTGACCTGACTGGATGGATCTCACTGCTCGTGACTTCCCAATAGAACTTCAGGAAACTCCATCCTGTAGCAAGTCAGTCACTACCGAGTATCAGATTAATTTTCTACAGTTGGTTTGCAAGGATTAGTTTTGTTTTCACGACTTGATCACGGATCGATATCAGTTAGAGAACCATTGGAAATATTATTATTGTCTCCTTTAATTCCTAGAGAAACATAGGGCTCTGTAGGCTAAAAGACCCGGTGGACCCAATTGAACAAAATAATATAATTTACAAAATACCTTGCAGTGACTGTGAGTTAGGTCAACTACATAGGCCAAACTAGTAGAACGTGGGTCAGAACATAAGAATTTAGCTAAGGTAAGAATGGTTGACCCCAAGAAGATAAGTAATTTAGAAAAAAGCTCAGCACTGCATACATTAACACACAAACACATAACAGGGTGGGAGAGAGTTATGATTCTAAGAAGTAATCAAGGTAGGTGGAGAGAGAGGTTGATTGCTGAATCCTGTCTGGTTCATTGAGTCTACACCCAACAAATGCAACAGAAATGACTCAACGCAAATACCAGAGATATGCATGGAAGATATTATTACCACCAGTCAGTCAAATCAGAGGAGGATAATAAATAATCTTAAAGTTCTGTTTCAATTCAAGTACATCACAACATTCTAACAAGTAACTTATTATGACTATAAAAACATTCGTCTTATTTCCCATCTGATTGTACTTGATTAATAACACTCATATTATTATTTCTGAATGTATATTATCCTATACTGATTTTTATTTAAATATCTAGCCAATTCCACTCATGTATATAAATGAAAGGAAAAAGTTGTGTGAGTAGTGCCTTGATATGATTATGAGCAATAGTTTGTGCTCGAAACGTGGTCAGTTAATATTACTGTGTAACACTGTGTGACTTATCAAAATAAAAACTTGTGCATAATGGAGTTACACTCTACCACAGTGCCAAGTAATATACTTATATCAATAGGAACATAGGGCTTCAGCCGAACGTCTCCATTGCGTTCGGTTCTCCGCCAACGTCTTCACCTGGCTCCCATCACTGCCCACATACTTTCATCTCCTCTCCGCATGACCTCCTCCATGTCACCCCCACACTAACGATCGACTCGCCGCCTCCCGTTCGCGTTCCACTCGAGCCATGGCCTGTCGTGTGATGTTACTTGATGGTTCGTTTTCTCAGAGTATGGTCAATCTTTCAATTTTAAAGACTGATTGGTGAAAAAAGAATATTCTTCTCGACAAAAGGCCTTCTCCATCACGTTCTACATTGATATCACACTAAGAATTAAGGAAATATTTGAACTTACAACAGCAATCTTGCTTTCAATTAAATTTAAATCAGTAGTATATACAGGTGATGACTACATTTCAGAAGCATCAGTAAGACAGACAAAAATAATAGTATGCATTCATATAACACTAAACTGATTGAATATCAGGTAAATGAAGGGAAGTAACATAGAATTGGCGAATTTATAAGTTCAACTGATGGTGAGAGTAGCAATAGTGGCTGTCTGGACCTGCTTCTTTTTCACACTGAGCTCCCCTAAATTTAGGTGAATTGCGATGACCCCTACTGTTTGGAGTTTTGATATTTAGAGGCCTTAGATAATTTATTCAAAGCGCGAGAGATGATAGAGAAAGATCATTCAACGTTAACTTTGCGATGTGTTTCGAGATGATTCAATACAGTACTGTTGATGTTTTTCACAATACCTTTATTTTACCACACTAGTAGGTGTTCCTAGCTGGGAAACCATAAGAAAAGTACTTAGACCGGTCAATATACACATTTTCACAGCTTTTTCCCTCTCTAGTAATAAAAGAAATTTGATAAAGACCCTCATCTATAACGTAAAAACTATTTGTTTCAGAAGATGCATTCTGAAGAGGAAATTAAGGTTGTGTACGACAGGATAAGTTCATCACGAAACACACGGCCAAGAAAGTAGAAGAGAATACCTCCGTATCTGTTTACAAGAAGCCTCTACATATGTATGAGTACAATTCAAAGGTGATATACATCCAAGTGAAATAATAACACCAACAAGTTGAGCAAAATCGATTCAAAAAAGTTTAATGCTGGTAAACTGAAGCTTATATTTTCCACATACAGCCAGTTGTGATTCGGTAGCTGAAAGGTGAAGCACCTGGACTAACCATTGCTAATTGTATCCATCAATTTAACTACATCTGTATATCCAGTTATATTGGCTGTTGCATTTGGAACTTAAATTTTCGTGCTCGTATAGGTTAAATAAAAGTGTTGTGAAAACCATCAACAATTCTGCACTAGATCACCTCTTCCAAACATACCGCAAAGCTAACGTTGAATGATCTTTCCCTATCTAAGGCCTCTACAGATATTGAACACTCTAAACAGTAAAGGCCATCGTAATTTGCCGAAATCAAGAGGGGCTCTGTGCGAAAAAGAAGCAGGTCCAGACAGCCACTATTGTTACTCTCATCATCAGTTGAACTTATAAATTCATAAACTCTATAATACTTGCCTTCATTTATCTGATATTCAGTCAATTCAGTGTTATGTCAATGTATAATATCCCTCTTGCTTATTGGTGCTTCTGAAATGTAGTCATCACCTGTAGATACTATTGATTTAAATGTAATTTAGAGCAACATTGCTGTTGTAAGTACGAATATTTCTTTAATTCTTAGTGTGATATAAATGTAGGACGTGATGGAGTAGGCCTTTTATCGAAAAGAATGTTCTCTTTTCACCAATTAGTCTTTAAAATTTGTAATGGACATCTCCAGTGGTGATTAAGAACTAATTCTTGCGATAGTTTTCAAGTTACTTTTGAATAACATATGGAAGTGAGCTGAAATCAAGTTATTCTAACAAAATTCTCGACTAGTGAGATTGAAAATAAACCTCAAGTAGCAACAGTATTTATATACATATAACCGCATTAAAATTCGGCTAGATCAGTAGACAGTAAACTGTTCTGATTGGTTGACGAAAAGTTGTCCAATGAGATTACTTTGAGACTACAACGTGAACGAAATCCAAATATGCGAAATAAACACTACTACGTCTACTGCAGCCATTGACCTAAAATGATAATTCTGAATTTTTACCCACTTCCCATCAGCATACATCTGTATAGCACAAGTCACTCTACGTCACTCAATGTGCGTCGGTGGCATAGTGGTTAGGACGCTCACCGATCATACAAATGGTCCGAGGTTCGATTTTCGACCGACGCACTCCTCCTATACCTTGCTAATCCAGTAATAAGACTGATAAAGAGGGAAGGTTGGGCATGAGATAGGCTAGCAACCCCATCCCGTAAAATCTAAACACCACTGCTACCAAAACTTCAAGCCTGTAGCTTGAAGCCACCCTATGTTCCACTACTGGGAAAGTAAAGGGATTTTCTTTCGAAAAAAATGTAAAGTTTTCATCAATGTTACTTTGGTTATTTCTTCTTTTTTTCTTTGCTTTTTCACTATCAACAGGTGGAGTGTTAGCGCATGCTTATTATCCAACACCGGACAATGTTTATTCCTTTTCAGGGGATGCACATTTCGATGATGATGAAGTATGGAATGATGGACCACATAAAAGTAATGCATACACAACATGATTGTCTGTGATTATCACACTGTAACCTGTAATCCTTTTTTCTTATTATGGTTACAACGTCATGTTGTTTTCTAATTAAAGTTTTTTTAAGTAATACACCTAAATGTTTAATATTGTACAGTTGGTTGGTTTTATATATCACCTGGAAAGCCATTAGAATAAAAATGGTGCAAACCTGTGAACAGTGAGCGTCCTAGTCACCTTTCTTTAAAGTTTTTCCAGTAATATTTACTAAGTTTTTTTTCTCAAGGAGGTCATTTGGACTTACAACAAGTACCATGAAAAGTATTGGTTTGTAGGGATTCGGTTGATTGGTTACAGGATTTCTTCAGCAGCTGACATCGGTTAGAGAACCACTGGAAAACCTGGGAGTACTGCACAGCTGTTTCGTCCTAGTTCTGGACTCTTCGGCAGCACGCTTAATGGTCTACGAGCTCGCCTTGTAACCAGTATGTGCTGGGTTCGAACCCCAGTGAGTGCGTACTGATGAAGAGTCCCAAACTAGGACGAAACAGTTGTCCAGTACTCCCAGGTATTTCAATGGTTCTCTAACCAATGTCAGCTCATGATGAAATCCTGTAACCAAGTACCATGAAAGTTGGATAAATTCAAAAAGGCGTATTATTATTATTGTTACTGTTCTCTTGGGTTCCGAGTGGGAATTACAGCTTCAACAGAATATCTCCACCGCGTCATGTCCTCTATGGCCCTCTTTACCTGGTCACATGATTACCCACAGTTTCTTGTTTCCTCCCAACACGATCTCCTGCATGTCACCCTCGGACCCACGTCGTTTCCCATTCAGGTTCCAATAGAACGATGGGTTGACCCACGGCATCATCCAACGGTCTCCTTAGCACGTGTCCCATCCATCTCCAATTTCTTTGGAATATTTGTTTTGTAGCAGGTTTTTGGTTGATTCTTTCCCCCAGTTTCTTGTTGCCAGTTCTTTCTAGCCAGCCATCTGATCTTCAGTATGGAGTCAGAGAAGGTAGCAGCTATTGATGAAAGTCTGCAGCAGGCTGTTAGAAATGCTATTTTTGACTCAAGTGCATAACAAGTTTCTGACCCAATCAGTTCCAATACAAGTAACAGCCTAGAAGGTGTGAAAACACACAAAAACAACCAAAGAGTCATGTTTAAGGTCACGCACTAGGAGAGATGACTAATAAACTCGGGGAGAGATCGAAAAGCTCACTTCAACAAATTGAAGTATGCTCTGAAGATGTGGCCTAGTAGGGAGGGCAATGAAAGTTTCGCAAATAAACCATCATCCAGCTCACAGAACACAACCACATCAAAGTCACCCACCTGAGCTACAAATCTTCTCCATCATATTCTGACCCATGTAGAAGAAGTGACTAAGTCGACATTGGTGTGGAAAATTCGAATTTTGTTTTTTTTTCTGCTGCGTTCAGAAGATTTCAAAAGGGATTTGAGAGCGGTGATGATGATCTGACTCTGGTTTTGAAATCTTTATCCATTCATCCTGTTGGAGGCATGACAAATTCTCGTGTGATGTGATGTCAGAAAGAAGGTCTCTTCTTAATTTATCATCAAAACTGTATAGTTATTTATGGATTTATATGTGCTATGTAAATTGCCAACAAGGACCAGAGCTTATTGTTGCTTAGAAACGAAGACACAGACGCCAAACACAAAAGCCGAAACCTAACACCCTTTGTACCATTTGACCTCACCTTGTAGATGATCTTGAAATATGACTCTTGTGGAGATATGTGGCTTGATTCCACCAAGTGTTTGAGGACTGGGCTAGTAACTGCCTTGCATTGTACTTTTGTTAACCATGACGGATAATGTTCACAGATGCGTTTGGAAAGTGTACGCTCTGTGCGGCCAATATAACTAGCTCCACACGAGCATATGAATTCGCACACACATCGAAGTGTGTTCTTCTTTTGGTCTAATAGTTAAACTTCAGTAGCTTCAGCAGTGTAACTCGTCTACCATATTCCACTGAGTTATATGACTATTGAATAACTTCATCAAAAAAATGTTTAAACTCTAATCTAAATTCTAACAAGAAACCAGCATCAAATACCACAAGAAAAGAGGAATATTTCTGAAATAATGGCTAGAAGGCAAAAAACCATTTGGAATACACGTAGAACACCAGTAGACACAGTCACTTCATTCAATATTGTGCAGACCAAAGGACCCAATAGAAAAAAAAGATAAGATCATCAATACCAGAGGAATCATTGAGCGACTGACAAACACATTGATATAGACCAAATTTACCGAGAAATAAAAAAATAAATCACATGACAAGAAAGTTTAAATTCCAATAATGATTTTTCAATCATTGGATTTTGTAGGGATGTTTTTTTGATTGGTTGGAGGATTTCATTATGAGCTGACATCAGTTAAAGAAACATTGGAAAACCTTCAGGGAGTTCTGGACAGCTGTTTCCTCCATCCTAGTTTGGGACTCCTCATCAGTACGCACCCACCCCACAGCCAGGGTTTAAACCCACGAACTTCTGGTTACAAGACCAGCGAGCTAGCTCGTAAACCATTAAGCCACTGGCACCCAACCGACCCACTGGCCAGCCAGACCATAAATTCCAAATTCTGTCGATTCACAACATAACGTGACCACCAGCCAATGTCATCGCTGGCGAGTATTTGTCCTCACACCCAATCTGCTGCACCCTAATGGTCACGGCTTCCCACCAGAACTCCAGATAACTACCTACCTGAACAGGGCCAGTTACTAGTGAGCATCAAATGAATTTTCAAGCATTGGTGTTTGTTGGGATTTCGTTTGATTGGTTGGATGATTTCATCATGAGCTGACATCATTAACCAAAAGGTTGTGGATTCGAACCCTGGTTGTAGGGTGGGTGAGCACTGCTGAATAGTCCCGAACTAGGACGGAGGATACAAGTGGCTGTCCAGTACTCCGAGGTGGTGGTTTTCCAATGTTTCTCTAACTGATGTCAGCTCATGATGAAATCCCCCTAACCAATCCAACAATGATTGTCATGAGATACAATTAATTATATCTATCATTCATAGAGAATTGAAATAAGTTCAGTTTATTATTATTATTTTGATTACAGCTTGATGCCACACAGTATTTTCAGTACAAGTATGGAATTTTCAGCATGGATATCGGTAGCCCAAATTTTGCAGGCCGACCATAGATATCGGGGGTGCGTCGGCAGGGGACCGAACCCCGGACCATGTGTATGGACGGCGAGAGTCCTAACCGCTGTGCCACCGACGCACAGCTTGAGCTGAAGACATTGGCTAGAAGGACAACGAAAGCTTCACTATTAAATTTAACGAGTTCGGAGAACACAACTAGTTCAATTTCATCCACCTGATCTACAAATATTCACTGTTACTTCAAAACTTATTTTGCGAAAAAAATAGCAAACAATGACCATTCTGTAACTAACTTACAGTGATAAGATTAGTTACCAATCATGAATGGGACTAATTTCTAACCTGTGATGACAACGTGTAGTAATTTGGTGGGTGGTCACCAGCAGTGGAATCTAGGATGCACATTTGGGACCAGTCAGCTGAATATAGCCGCATTCCGTACAGAGTGACAGCGTTTGAAATGATGGATACTGGGTTCGAATGAGTCTTAGTGGGAACACCGCCATCACTCACCGGGGAATGCAGGTACATCCACTGGCTGAAGAGTCCCAAGCAGGACGAAATTCGCATTCTAGATTCCACTGCTAGTCACTATCCACCTGATTACTTCAAGTTAATTATCAGACATTGTCAAACGGTCCATACTGGGAGCCGATTTGTCAACTGAGACCGAACACCTTGGTTCAGTCAGGCAACGAAAGAATTAAAATCGAATTGAAACACATTATAATAACAAATAAGCAACCACATTCTGAGTATCCTTTTACCAAAATTGTGGGAAAAAAACCTTACAATTCCTCTTCACAATCTCATGGCTGTTTGTTTTCTTTATCAAAAATACCTAAAACTTAATTAAGATGTGGATTTTCCATTTTGCTTCTTTCTTCTTTATTATTTTTTAGCTCATAGAAATTTAATATCCGTTGCAGCTCATGAATTAGGCCATAGCTTAGGATTGGGTCATTCATCTGTACCGACTGCAATTATGTATCCTTATTACATAAGTACATGGGATAAAGTTAAATTGGATCCAGACGATATTGCTGGAATACAACAAATTTATGGTATGTTTTGAAATCTAACTGTCTTTATAATGTAATTATTATTATTATTGTTCCCTTGGGTTCCTAGTGGAACATACGGGTTGCAACTGCACGTCTCCGCTTGCTTCTGTCTTCTGCTGTACTTTTCACTTGCATCCATGTTAGTCCATACTGTTTCAACTCTTCTTCACACGATCTCCTCCATGTCACCCTTGGACATCCCACTCGCCGCTTCCCTTTCGGGTTCCACTCGATGGCCTGACGTGCGATGTCACCCAACGGCCTCCTCAGCGAGTGTCCAATCCATCTCCACTTTCTCCTGAATATTTGTTGGGCGATTGGTTCTTGTTTTGTTTGTTTGTTCCCATAGTTTCTTGTTCGTGATTCTTTCCGGTGGCCATCTGATCTTCAGTATAGAGCGAAGACAGCTGTTGATAAAGCTCTGCAACAGGCTGTTGGAAATATTCATTGTGACACATCGGCCAAGTTTCTGATCCATCCGTATAGAAGAACTGACTGACTTGACGTTTGTATTGAAAATCCGAATCACTTTGTTGTTGTTGATGCTGAGTGATGAAGATTTCCAGATTGGTTTCAGGTTGATGATGAATGTGTTTCTCGCCTTCCCGATTCTCGATTTGACATCCTCGTCCGTTCCTCCTGTAGTTGAGATAATGCTCCCTACATGAGTGAATGAAGTAACCTCTTTCGAATCCCTCCCGTTGATGGTGATTGGAGAGACAATGTGAACATTTACATTTATAGTGTAAACATTTGTATAAACACGAGTTAGCATACACTTTTCCTACAAGAAAACAAAACCTATTTTTATCATTGTTTCTATACTCATAAATGCGATAGTTTAGATGGTCAATAAAATTTGTAAGAAATACAATCAGAATTTAATTGGTGGATGGTGACTAGCAGTGAAATCCAGGACAACACGCATTTCCTCCTATTTGGGACTCGTCTGCCAGCTGGATGCACCTGCATTCCTCAGTGAGTGATGATGTCCCCACCGAGACTCAAATCCAGTGCCCATAGTTTCAAACGACAAAGCGTTATCCCCCAGATCACTTGGGCCACGTGAGCCACCTCTTGTGCAACGGGTTTTATTAATTGTTGAATTCAATTTTAGATTTTCCCGTCGATTGATTGGACCTAAGTGCTCGGTCTCAGCTTGACATGTCGGCTTCTTATGTAGATGCTTCGATGATGTATGGTCATGTAATTAGAATCTAATTGGTGGATTAGCAATAGGAACATCACCACTCACTGGGGAGTGCAGATACATTCAGTGGACGAGTCCCGATAGGACGAAATGCGCGTTATCCTGGTGGATTCCGCTGCTAGTCGCCATCCACTAATTAACATCGAATTATATGCCCAGACATCATCGAAGCATCTGTATACGAAGCCGACATATCAACCTGAGACCGAGCACTTCGGTCCAATCAATCGGCGGGAAAATCTAAAATTCATTTAAATAAAGAAATAAAATTGGTAAGTACTATTTATATCCTTTTTAAAGTGCTTTCCGTTCCGAGTGGAACATACCGCTTCAAGCTAGAGCTTTGGAGTTTCGCTGGCAGTGGTGTTTTATTTTTATCTGGTGGGGGTGCTAGCCTCACGCTCAACCTTCCGTCTTTACCGACCTTACTGACGGCTTAGTGAGGTTTACAGGTATGGAATTCATCACAAGCTGTATGACGATTTGATATCAGTTAGAGAATCATTTGTAAAACAGGTAGTACTGGATAGCTGTTTCGTCCCAGTTTCGCACTCTCCAGTTATACGCGCCTATTCGAATTCAAACCTGAACCTTCTGGTTACAAGGTGAGCTCGTAAACAGTTGAGTCACTAAGACCTGATACTCACTAGCCACTGGCTGTATACAGGAATTTACCTGGAGTGAACAGTCATAACTAACCAGTTTCAACAGGTCAGATAAGAGGACATTTACTCGCCAACATCGGGTTTCAGTAACTGAATGGCCTACGAGGTCGTCTTGTAACCAGAAGGTTGTCGGTCAGCAGAGTTCTACGCTAGGACGAAACAGCTGTCCAGAACTCCTTGGATTTTTACAACGGCTTTCTAAGTGATGTCAGCTTGAGATTAAAGCCGCAACACCAACACTTGATTATGAATATGATGTGCCAGAGTCCTAAACTCGAAAGTGACATCTACCATTAGAACTGACTAAAATGGCTGATTTTATCACAAATTTTACGTTAGTTCATCCATGTATTTCCTTACCTTCACATTATTCAAACATTCAATGAATCATCAAAACGTAATGTAGTTTATCCAAAATATTATAACTTGTCTGTCATACGTTTTCACTGTGAAATTATCACTGACTAAGCTGTAAATATTGGTGCATTCATTTTGGCAGTGTTGTATATATACATTCGCATATATACATGCATCCTAATTTGTATTCGTGTAATACATTCGAACTGTTTTGGGTTTTTTTGTTTTGTTATTTGCAATATACCGTTATTTGAATACACGTTTACGAGAAAAAAACAAAAAATGCAGTGTCTATGGTGTAGTTGTCAGCTAATGTGATCCTCAGACGTATCACATAAAATGTCGACTTATTTAGAAGTGCTGTTAATTTTGTATGTCTAGACATACACTCTGTACTTTGTTAACCGGTAAAAACTCTTCGTAATAAAAACAAATTCCAACTTATTTTTGTCTGGGTATAATAATAATAACCATAATTATAACTACCAAGAGAGAGACGATGGAATGATGATTAAGCGATCTATTTTTAGTAAAAACAGACATGGAGTGGACAATATTTCTCTCGTCATCAGTTTTGTTCGCATCCAGTATAAACGTTCTTTAGTGAAATAAATGTTTGTTTTCAAGGGCCCGCAAAATATATGCACGAGCGACACACTCTGTAATGGATGAGCTTCGAGACATATACATTCAGTTTTATTAGCTAATGGTTATCCAGAGAACTTCATCACTTGTCACAGTAAGGATAGACCACATCTTGATAAGACAGCTTCTGTACCAAACAAATCTATCTTTATTAACCTACCACCATTGAAGGGTGACCAGATTATGCCGTTCAAAGACAGCTCAAAGACTTCGGTCAGTCAGCAATCAAACGCACATTCTACGCTGCATCTCCTTCCCTCATATCTTGAACAATTTATATCCCTGTAGCTACGTTTAAAGGAGGAAATTCTGTGGACACTACTTCACACTCTATCTAAAAGTTCACCCCCAGCTGCGGTGACACTTATATAAGTAGAACCAATAGAATGTTCCAATGTCGTCGAAAAGAACACGTTCCAAAATGGTTATTAAAACATATAGAAAATCCCAATGTAATTAATCTGAATAGAAATCCAGCATCATCCATTGCAAAGCACTTAGTAATGTCAAGTCACAAAATCAATACTAGTGACCATTTTACAATTATTTCACATAACTCTGATTCAAGGTTACTGAAGGTGATGGAGGCACTTTGGCAATTAATCATATACGTCCTAAACTAAGTGTACAAAAGACAATAAAACTTCAACCTTAGCCTACCATGAACTACTTGACCTATTTAAAAATGATTGGTCATTAGTATGTACTTTTGTTTTTATATAACTGAGTAATTGTCATGTATTTTATTTTATTACTGTTAACTATGTTAATTGGTGGATGGTGACTAGCAGTCGAATCCAGGATGCGCATTTCGTCCTGTTCGGGACTCGTCAGTCAATGGATGTACCTGTATTCGGCAGTGAGTGATGATGTTCCCACCGAGGCTCGAACCCAGTGCCATTAGTTTCAAACGTCAACGCGTTATCAACTAGACCACTTGGGCCATGAGAGCTACTGCCTCGTGTACAGCGGGTCATATTGATTATTGAATTCAATTTTAGATTTTCCCGTCTATTGACCGGACTGCAGTGCTCGGTCTCAGGTTGACATGTCGGCTTTGACATAATGGGTACTGGATTCCAGCCTCGGTGGGAACATCATCACTCACTACGGAATACAGGTACATCCACTAGCTGACGAGTCTCAAATGGGACGAAATGTGGCGCATCCTGGTGGATTCCACCGCTAGTCACCATCTACCGATTAACTTCCATTAACATGCACAGACATCGTCAAAGCATCCGCACAAGAAACCGACATGTCAACCTGAGACCAAGAACTTTGGTTCAATCAATCGACGGGAAAATCTGAAATTGAATTAAAAAATTAACTATGTTAGTTGTAAAGCGGTTGTAAAGAAACTACGAAATGACAATATCATATCGCGAAATTTGTCTTCTGAATGTCTTATTCAAATTTATCAAAGAGACTAATTGTTTTAAAAATAATAATAATGATAAATTTGTCTTTAATCTTTTTCTACTTTTATTTTATTAGGTGCTGCTAAACGCGGTAAATTTATACCACCAGAACCGAGTTTACCAGATATACCACCACCTCGTAAGTCACTTTTTCCTCGTCAAGTGTTAAACTACTGAAATATTTTATAAAGTAGTAGGTTATATCTGCAAGGTTAAATTAGTTTCCTTTGTGAATTTAAACAAAGCAATAAGAAGACGTAATTTATCTGAATCGTGTGTAATTGTATTTGCGCAACACATTTCGAACAATCTCATCACACACGCATTTTTCATAGGAATAGTCATATATGAAATTAATAAAGAGTCAAGAGGTGAGAAAATAGACTTAGATCAAGTTAAAAGGCCTCCATATTGAAAGTCAAAATAACAATGAGGATCACTGAACCAAATAACAGAGGTAATAGTACATCTACTCTGCCTGGTATCAAAACAAAGTTTCCCAAGGAAGGTTTAGTGTGATGACGAATTGTTCCTTTGAACCCATAAAGGCAGGTTAAACTTTCTAATTGCCAGGTAAAAAGAATTTTTATGCAGCTAATATCATAATAATTGAGAATGTGAAGGCAATATGTATCCATCTAAGCTCTTTGAACATGCGAAAAATTAAAACATATCCCACTGTATCTATCAGCTTAAGTGTACTTGTGGTCACACATGCATAGGAACGACTCATCAATCTCTGCAACTAAGGGCTGCCTTCAGAGCATATTTCTAAATAGCTTCAGAAGCAAATGGAATACCTAAAACCTATTAATGGTGAGAAGAGGCAATCCACCTCCTCTATTGCGAAACATTTTTTAGAGACAGGACATAAAATTGATGTTCACATCTCTTTTAAACCTATTTATAGAACGTGTTTGGGGCGTATCTTATAGTGTGTGGAAGCCCTAGCTGGCGATTAGAAAGTTTAAACCACCTTTATGGGATCAAAGCAACAATTCGTCATCACACTTAGCCTTCCTTGGGAAACTTTGTTTTGATACCAGGCAGAGTAGATGTACTATTACCTCTGTTATTTGGTTCAGTGATCCTCATTGTTATTTTGACTTTCAATATGGAGGCTTTTTAACTTGATCTAAGTCTATTTTCTTACTTCTTGACTTTTTATTAATTTCATATACGACTATTCCTATGAAGAATGCATGTATGATGAGATCATTCGAAATGTGTTGCACAAATATTATTTTTTATTTTGTAGGTTTTCATCGTCTGCAGACTACCTGACACCAAAACATTTATTAAAGAAATATAATACTGTGATTCGAATTTACTCAATAAAGTGTTGAATCAGAAAGTATTTGTTACAATCTCGAGAATCCAAATTATCAGCTGAGTGAACATCACAAATAGTAATTCCAACTACATATTTTTTCCTCAAATAAAGGTCTCAACACTTGTAAAGATGAGAGAAACAATATAAAGATACTCATTCTAGAGATTATGTAACACAGATAAGAAAGCTGAAATCCAGCGTTTGAAACGATGGGTACTGTTAGTCAACATCCACTAAATATTACTTCAAGTTGATCCTCTGACACTGCTAAAGCATCTGCACAAGGAGATGACATGTCGACGAAGGCAAAACATTTCATTTCAATGAATTTTCAAGTATAAATTTTTGCAGGGATTTAGTTTGACTGGTTGGAGGATTTCAACATGAGTTGGCATCAATTAGAGAACCATTGAAAAACCACCACCTGGGAGTACTGGACAGCCATCTGTATCCTCCGTCCTAGTTCGGTACTATTCAGCAGTACTCACCCACCCTACAGCCACGGTTCGAACCAAGGACCTTCTGGTTACTGATGTCAGCTCACTATGAACTCCTCCAAACCAATCAAACTAAAAAGTCCCTACAAAAACCAATACTCGAAAATTGATCTGGTGCTCACTAGCGACTGGCACTATTTAGGTAGGTAGTCACCTGAGATTACAGTAGGAAGTCGTGATCAGTAGGATGCAGTATGTTGAAGGTGAGGCAGTAACTCATCGAAGAAGACATTGGCTAGTGGTCGCGCTATGTCATGAATTATCAGGAGTAAGAATTCATGAGCTGGCTGGCCATTGGATCGGGTGAGTCCCAGTGGCTTAATGGTCTACGAGCTAGCTCGCCGACCTTGTAACCATAACGTCGTGGGTTCGAACCATTGCTATGGCGTATGTGCGTACTGATGAAGTGTCCCGAAATAGGACGGGGGAAACACATGGTTGTCCAGTACTCCCAGTTGGTTTTCCAGGGGTTCTCTAACTGATGTCAGCTTATGATGAAATCCTCCAACCAAAATTGATTTAAAAGTAAATTTTGTGTATATGTTTCATGAGATCCTAAGAGGGATCACACTCCTAATTGTCAGAAAATTTGCAGTCATAATAATTCCCAAATAAATGATATCGGTAAGCTCTCACAAACAGCCAGTCACTTTGTCTTCGTTAGTGCAAAGTCTTCGCAAATGCTGTTCCTTATTTTTACCATCAAAGAATTAGATCAAGTCTCTTCCTGAAAATAAACAAAAGAAAAAACACACACAACATTAATTAGCAATTTGCATGTACAGGGTTTTTGTTCCCATTACACTTAGACGTCTTATAAAGTGAATAGAACAGTGAAAAGTAGATGTACTGGCCGTGCTGGATTGCAACCACTGAAGTCAACATGCTAAGAGACGTGACACTTCTCCACACTATGGTGCATTACAAGTTGGTAGTGAGTGTCAGAGGAATGAATCACCATGGCTCCCCCACCCCAAAGCTCTTTTTACTAATAGTAAGTTATGGTGATAATAATATCTTCATTCTGTGTGACTAGGCAGACATCTGGATCTTAATTTTCGAATATTCAACAAAATTTCTAGTATGAACAAAGCAAGAACAACAGCGGGGCTTTTGCAGAATAAAATGCTACCATCATTGTTTATTTCATTGGCTTCTCATCAGCTCAGCTGCTTACAGGCCAAAGTCATTATTAAGTATATCTACAGAAACAATTTTGACATACTTGCACAGAGTTCATTTTAAACAAAAATCAATCGATCAATATACGCATACACTAATAATATATATATAATATATATATATATATATATATATATATATATATAATATTAAGCACTATTCCGAACAATAATGATCATACACAATGGAAACTTTTCAGCATTTCACATTCGGATGAAAGAGAGATGAAAAATATCCAGTTACCAGTCACTAGCCATAGTCTATCCTGCAGCTAGCTAACCTCGTTCCCGTCTATCGAACAACTTGCTCTTTGGTGCAATCAAAAATCGATAGATATCCTTCTCAGGTTAACTCCAACTGTTAATACAAATTAACATGTGTCTGCGGGAGCAGTTACATTGGAAGAACAGAAAGAAGGATATATCTACGATTTTCTGAACATGTACCAAAAAGCCTTCGTCTCCAGAGGGAAACAAATGCTTTAAACAGTGCCATCGCCAGGAATCTCCTTGACACGGGTCATGAGGTGGATGTCGAAAAGTCGTTCAAAATTATCAATAGTTAGAAGAGCTCAATTCTCCTCACGTTCGATGGAGCCATCTCCATCAAGCGCCTGAAACCTGATTTATGCGTCCAGAAAGAAGCGGTTACCAATCTTTCTTTGCTCTGGTAACTGGATATTTTTCATCCGAATGCGAAATGCTGAAAGTTTCCATTGTGTATGATCACTATTATTCGGAATAGTGTTTAATATTGCATATATATGTATATATTATTAGTGTATGTGTATATTGATCGATTGATTTTTGTTTGAAATCAACTCTGTGCAAGTATGTTAAAATTGTTTTTGTAGATACACTTAATAATGTCTTTGCCCTGTAAGCAGCTGACGAGAAGGCAACGAAATAAATGATGGTACCATTTTATTCTGCTAAAATTGTAGTTCTTGCTTTCTTCAAATTCATTAAGGGGAATAAATGTATAAAATTTGCAGTTATTAGTAAATATTACGATCCTATAAAATTTAGAATGAATGTCTGTTGCAATTAACACTTAATATTCTTAAATTAATCTTCCTTTGTTTTTAATAATTATAATGATTAGTGTTGATTTTTTCTTCAAATTCCTCCTCCCTCTCCCCCAACCCTTTAGCTCCTGTAACTACGGAAGCTCCAGCGAAAGGAAAAATATTTGATTTTTGTAATATCAGCGTTGATGCAATCATAAAAATTCGTAATTTAGAATTATACATTTTCAAAGGCGAAGTGAGTTGAGTTTGATGCTGATAATGAATATTTATTGCTAATATCCCCTACAAACCAATATTTGAATATCAATGAAATTCTCACCAGCTACTGACCCTGTTCAGGTAGGTAATTATCTGGGGTCCTAGTGAGAATTCGTGACCAGTAGGGTGCAGTATGTCGGGCATGAGGACAAATACTCGCCAGTGATGACATTGGCTAGTGGTCGCGTTATGTTGTGAATCGACAGAAGTTGGAATTCATAGGCTGACTGGCCACTGGATCGGGTGCCAGTAGCCTAATGGTCTAAGAGCTCCATAGCCGACCTTGTAACCGGAAGGTCGTGGGTTCGAACCCTAGCTGTGGGGTGAGTGCGCACTGCCAATGAAGAGTCCCAAACTAGAATGGGGAAACAGCTGTCCAATACTCCCTGCAGGTTTTCCAATGTTTCTCTAGTTGATGTCAGCTCATGATGAAATTCTCCAACCAATCAATCTTTAGAATATAATAGCCAATGGAGGTAATTTGCCTGAAGGAGAATCTACTGAAAGCGAGTGTTCGCTCTAACTATTCTTGTTCTCAATGCTTAGCAAACATACAGAATAGCAACCATAGAATGCGAACGGTATACTTACTTTGAAGGCGCATACCATTCACTTGATTTACAGAACCTGATGTGTATTGTCTATTTACAAGAAAAATACTTATAATAATAAGAAGAATAAGAATACACCCTAACTGTAATCCATATCTTAACTCTAGCCCTAACCCTAATACTTACCCTAATACTAATCCTAACCTTAACATGCTATTAACCCATTATCCAAATAGTACTTAGAATTGGGAGCAGAATAAAATCGTACGTCACATCGTGTACGGCATTCATACTGGCACAGTGACAACTACAAGTTCTGTAATCCATCGAATAGTATGCATACAGAGTCATTGGTGCGTTAGCATCCCGTAGTCGCTATTCTTTAATTCACCCGAGTATGTTTATGACTTCGTTAAATAAGAAGTATTCTGAAGGCTAAATCTACATAACCATTCAAAAGAATGATTACTGAACAAAGAATACTCTTTTCGATAACCCCTTATTCATCAGGTTCCACACTTATCTGTATACATAACAGTGAATGAATTAGTGTTATTAACAACATTAGTGTTGTTTAAATAACATTGAATCAATAATAATAATAACAATGGATTAGATTTCGATAGCATCAACATAACAATACACTGAATATCAGATAGGCAAACTGGGAAAAATAATAATACAAATTCATGAATTTATAGTCTCTACTGAAGGCTGGCCAGGGCAGTAGTAGAGGCTGGTTGAACTTGCTTCTTCTGTAGACAAAGCACTGGTTGTTTCAGGCGAATTGCGATAGCCTCTGCTGTTTGTAGCATGCGGTACCTTGATGTGTTTAGCAAATTATTTGATACCCAATAGATGATGGAGATGAATTCTCCAATGCTGCCTTTGTAGCCGGTTCGGACCAGGCGGTCTAATATCGAGCTATTGATGCTTCTGGGTACACTCTTATTTAGCCACACTGGTAGGTGTTCCCGAGCACGAAAATCAAGTTCCACAAGTGCAGTTGAATTGGTGGATACAATTGGAAGTGGCTAGCTAGTCCTAGGTACTTCATCTTTCAATTTGTGAATCACCATAGAGTGTGTAGAAAGTAAGAATTGTAGTTTCTCTGCATTAAAAGTTCTTTGAATTGATTTTCTTAACTTCTTGGCAATTATTTTGCTAGGTATACCGCCCTTGAATTGCAGTCATATGTACGTGGGCTTCTTGTTTACGGATAGTGAGTAGTCCTTTTCCACTTTCTTAGTCCCATGTTTCCTGATGAATTTGTCCGGATTATTATTGTATTATTATTGTTCCCTTGGGTTCCTAGTGGAACATAGGGCTTCAACTGCACGTCTCCACTTGCTTCTGTCTTGTGCTGTACTTTTCACTTGCGTCCATGTTATTCCATACTGTTTCATCTCCTCCTCACACGATCTCCTCCATGTCACCCTTGGACGTCCCACTCGCCGCTTCCCTTTCGGGTTCCACTCGAGGGCCTGACGCGCGATGTCACTCAACGGCCTCCTCAGCGAGTGTCCAATCCATCTCCACTTCCTCCTGCATATTTGTTGGGCGATTGGTTCCTGTTTCGTTTGTTCCCATAGCTTCTTGTTTGTGATTCTTTCCGGCCATCTAATCTTCAGTATAGAGCGAAGACAGTTGTTGATAAAGGTCTGCAACAGGCTGTTGAAAATATTCTTGGTGACCCGCCAAGTTTCTGATCCGTAAAGCAAAATTGACTTGACGTTTGTATTGAAAATCCGAATTTTGTTGTTGATGTTGAGTGACGAAGATTTCCAGATTGGTTTCAGGTTGATGAATGTGTTTCTCGCCTTTCCGATTCTCGATTTGACATCCTCGTCCGTTCCTCCTGTGGTTGAGACAATGCTCCCCAGATAAGTGAAAGAAGTAACCTCTTTCAAATCCCTCCCGTTGATGGTGATTGGCACTGGATGTTGCTGCTGTTGTTGGTTGGTTATTTTCATAACCTCCGTCTTGTCTATGTTCACCTGGAGTCCTGTCTTTGCTGCTTCTTCGACCAGTTTGTCGGTTTTTGCTTGTAAGTCTTCGATTTTGTGTGACATCAAACATAAATCATCCGCAAAATCCAGGTCTTCTAGGTTCTTCACGTCGGTCCAGGATATCCCTGTCTTCTCGTTTCCCACTGTCTGACGCATAATCCAGTCCACCACAATTAGGAATATCATTGATGATAATAAGCACCCTTGTCTGACTCCTGTGTTTACTCCAAACGCCTCGCTGAGTTTTCCGTTGTGGATCACTTGACATGTGCCGTTGTCGTACAACTGTTGAATGAGGTTGATGAATATTTGGGGTACGCCGTAGTACTCGAGTAGTTTCCAAATTACTTCGCGGTCAACGCTGTCGAAGGCCTTCTCAAAGTCTATGAAGTTGAGGTAGAGATTTGATTGCCATTCCATGCTTTGTTCGATGATAATGCGTAGAGTTGCAATTTGGTCAGAATTTGTCCGGATAGCTATTTTCAATCAAGGTACCAAATACAATCCCTAATTCATCTTCAGTTACCTCTCAGGAGCATACAGCTCAAACCCTGTGGCTGAGGTTCCTTACTAAATTTCTTTTGTACTGGAGAGGAACGAAGCTGTGAAAGTGTGTATACTGTCCTGACCATGTACTTTTCCTATGCAAATTTCTCTTCATGCTACCATCTGGTTGTCTTGTAAGGAGGACATCTAAGAAGGCAGTAATTCCATTTTGGAATTCCTCTTTGCACGCGAATTTCGTACCAGAATGTACTTCATTTAATTGAGTTATTATTGTGTTCCTATCCGAATCATAATCACAAGAAATAAAGGTGGCATCCATATACCGGCAATAAAATGAGAATTTTCTGGTAAGATTGTTAAAAGGTCCATTTTGTTAGTTTATTTAGAAAGAAATCTGTCAACATGGCACACAATGGGGAGACCATCGCCACCCCGTCTACTTGTCTGTAAATTGTACCATCAAATTTGAAATTTGCATTCATGGTACACCTTAATAACAATCCTATTAGGATTTCCGTCGGGATGCTAATATTTATCAACTTGCTATACATTCGTTCACATATGTAGTTAGCCGTTTCTACTAGAGGTACATTTGTAAATAAAGATGTTATATCCAAAACTATTATACTCATAACGAGGCCGAGTTAAACTTTAAGCACCACTGACTACCAATGGAGTACGACCGCACCAATAACCTAGAAATGGTCACTGACCAAGTTAGTGAAACTCGGCAAATAATGTTATCATCATCAATAAAATATGCTCATCGAAGTGTTATGCTATTTAATAGGATTTCTGGCAAGTTTCAGCTTAGGTTTTTTGCGAAAGATTAAGTTACGCTTTAAGCCAAGGACAAGTTAGAATTAGGTTAACCTTATAAAGGCGACAGTAGGTTTGGTTCGAGTTAGATTACAGTTAGTTTAGGGATATTTTCACGCTAGAGTTGGGTTTAGGAAGGATTAGGGTAATTGTTAGGTTTAGAACACCTAAATAATTACATGCATAGAATGTGGTTAAATTACTCTGTTGATATAAGAATAGAACTTGTGCACTGTGGTAGAGTATAATTCCACTGTGGGTAACATTTATTTTTATAAAGTCTCACGCTGTTTGCTAGACAGTAATATTTACTGATTATGTTTCGAGCACAATTTATTGCTCAGCAGATAATACTGTATTACACTATGAGACTTTATCAGAATAAATTTCACCCACAATGGAACTACATACTGTGTTGGTACTCCAACCTAAAACCGGGAGCTATTTTTATCACATTTGACAGCAAGGTATCCTCTGTAACACTTTTCTACCGTTTTTATGCATTTTTTCATAAATATATGTATTTAGTTAAAGCAATAAGAAGACGCAATTTGTCTGAATCATGTGATGAATGCATTTGCGCAACACATTTCGGACAATCTAATCACACACACGGATTTGTCATAGGAATATATATATACGAAATTAATAAAGAGTTAAGAGATGAGAAAAATAAACTTGGGTCAAGTCAAAAGTACATACTGAAGGACAAAATAACAATGAAGATCACTCATATCATCAAGATCACTAAACCAAATAACAGATGCAATAGTACATCTACCCTGGCTGGTATCAAAATAAAGTTTACCAAGTAAGGTTTAATGTGATGACGAACTGTTGCTATGACCGCATAAAGGTGGTTTAAACTCCCGAATTGCCAGCTAGGGCTTTCACAAACTTAAGGATACACCCCAAACACGTTTAATAGACAGGTTTAGAGGATCTGTTAATATCAATTTTATGTACTGTCTCTATAGTATGTCTCCTGTTTTCACCGTTAATAGGTTCTGAAGATTCCATTTGTTTCTGGAGCCATTTAGGAATATGCTCTGAAGTCAGCCCTTACTTTCTGACAGAGATCGATGAGTCCTTCCTGTGTATGCGTGTGTCAACAACGTACATTCAAATTGGTAAATACAGTGGGATGTGACATCATTTTTCGCATGTTCAAAGGTCTTAGATAGATATATTGGCTTTAAATTCTCTATTATTATGATATTGGCTGCATAACAAGTCTTTTTGACAGCAGCGTTCAATCTTTGTCTAGTTGTCAAGCTGCTATGATCCCCCCATATAGTATAGCTTGATGTACATGTCTTTCTTAGGCGCGAGTTGAAGAGTGGTCTTGGCTTTTTGACTACTTTATATCTCCTGATGAACTTGTCCGGATAATTATTATCAACCAGAGTTTGTGTCAACTTTCTTTCTTCCGCATCAAGTGTATCTTCAGTGAATATTGGTTGGATTCTACTGAAGAGGCACCTCACTCCCTAAGGCTCTTTTGTACCTAACAGGGCAGAAACTGTGGTAATTAAGATACTGTCCTGTCCAGGTAGGTTTTCTATAAATAGATCTTTTTATTGACCCATCAAGCCGTCGACTGAGCAATATGTCTAGGAAAGTCCGTGTGTAACCAGATTGTTCGAAATGTGTTGCGCAAATACATTACACGATTCAGACAAATTATGTCTTCTTATTGCTTTTTCTAAATTCATAAAGGGAACCAATTGTTTTAAATAAATATATGTATTCCATACACAAAAAGGCCTCCTTCACGTGATTGGTGTGTTCGAGGTCATTCGCTGTGATTGGTAGTTAGTGGTGCTTGAAGTTTAACTTTGCCCATAACAGATCTGATTCATGTGTTGTATATATTCATACTTATTAACGAATTTACTATAACCTGTACTCAACAGTTACCTTTTCAGTAACTAAAATTAGTATATTCTCTTCTCTGCTATTTATATTCTCATAGTGGCAGTGGAGAGTGACTTGGTCTAAAACTGTTACAACATGGATTGCTTATCAATTTCGAGATGGACCAGCGAAGATCACTTACTATTGGCCTGCACTCCCTAAATATGTCGACTATATTGACGCCGGTATTGAACGGCATGATGCAGCTATTTATATTTTTAGAGGTGATTAAATTTACTACTTTTCATATAGATGAAAGTGTTTTACTGACTGTGATTGTTTCAACTCTACAGTTGGTTAAGCGGTTTTTGTGTTAAGTAAATGGGTTTTCAGTGTCCTATCAAGTGTGTTGATTTGCAAGGATCTGATTGTTTGCAGGTCTGATCACAAGTTGATGTCAGTTAGAGAAAAATATTGGGAAATCTGGGAGTACTTGATAGCTGTTTCGTCCTAGTTTGTGAATCTTCGGTTGTACACACACACACACACAGGGTCCACGAAGTCAGGTAAGGGAACAGTTACTCGCTGATGACACTGGCTGGCGACTGCACTACTGTCAGAAGTTGAGATTCATGGTCCGGTCACTCATTCGGGTCCCTGTGGCTTAGTGGTTTGCGAAATCGCCTTGTTACTGACTAGGAGATCCTGCGTTCGAGCCCCAATGGGGGCGTGCTGCTGAAGAGTCCCACGATGCAGTTTTGCAGTATTCCCAGGTTTCTCAGTAGTTCTCAAACCTATTTTTATCATTAATCAAACGATTTTGGTTGGATAATCAGTTCTATTATAATAAGGTGTTAAATTAATTGGGAACTAGATCTGCTATGGGATTACACTCCAATAAAACACTGCCTCTAAGGAACTGTGCAGACGGACTCACCATTTAAGTATGCTGTTTCCAAGATCTGGACATTGACTTTCAGCTCATTAGTATTGTAACGATAGAAGACAAGGACCAGGGAACAGATCGTTTATTGAGAAAATCAACAGATATTTATAAATTTTTATGTACATAATTATTCGTCATTATTAACAGAAAAACAGTGTCTTCTGATTGGTTGTTTTCCTGCTGAAGATTATTCTGTTATCTCGTTGTGGCTATTTCTTTGAAGGTCAGACCATATATATGCGAATCGTATCCGCCCACGTCAAGTCTGCTATGATTGGTTGTTGAGTTAGTCTTTCTTCTTGTTCCTTTCTCATGACCCCGATTTGGGAAGTAAACATTGACGAAAATTGCTGTCTACTAATTTTGGCTAGCAGACAGCTTTCACCACAACTGTTGCTAATCTCTTCGAAGAAATCGTCTACAGCAACTTGCAGACATTTAAAAAGTGGAAACCCAACAAACACGATGTTTTCATGCATCACTCCTGATGAACACCCGAAAATCTTACAGACAGATAGGATATCTTGGACTGATTACTATCGGTGATTTTATTATACGTATCTTTCTTCAGCGCTTGTATCAGCTGGATAGGTGTTAGTTGAGTATGCTTAGTATGTCTCCGGCAAATTTCAGTTTTTAAATCTATTTTTGTAGATACTTGGCAAGTTTACTTGCCCCTGGTATCCCTGTTTAATGAGGGAAATATTCACTGGTTTTTTATTTCACATGTGTGCCTACTGAACAGACAATAAATTCTGGCTTCTTCTGGACAATATGCGAATGAAACCTGGTTTCCCGAAAGAAGGATTACCGCTTACGGAACTTGGACTACCAGCCAATTTAAAACGTGTAGATAGTGTATTTTTATGGGGAGAAAATCAAGCAATTTATATTTTTGCTGGTGAATACTATTGGCGATTGGATGAAAATTCTGGTCGATTCGGTAAAGTGATCAGTAGTCCAGATTATCCACGTTTGATAGCAGATACATGGCAAGGTGTTCCTGTTCCTACTCAGGCTGCATTTACTGGTTTAAATGGTAATTTTATATTAAATGTTTATCTGCATGATTTGATAACCTTCAGTTTATTTAATCGATATCTGCTTACCATAATTAAATTATATATATATATACGAATTCTGATGCCCATTAGGTTTCATCAGTCCATGTTCCAGTTCTGTTAGTGTGAATTCACAAGCTAAACGAAAACCCGATCATACTATTTTCTATAACTTGTAAACATTTAACGCAGGAGGTAAGTGGTTTGTCAACCTCCTAGTTAGTTAATGAATTTACATTACTCTCATGTGTATTTCATCCCATTTAAGACTCATCAGCTAGTAGTAGATGTGCCTGAATCCCTCAGTGATTGACGGTACTCGAACCCAGTGCTCATCGTTATTGGATAGACCATCTGGGCCACGAAATACACCTTTTGTGCAATGATTGCCAGTCATTATTTTTATTTTTAATTCAGTTTCGATTTTTCCGTTGCTTGATTAGATCGACATGTTCGGTCCATGTTGTTGGGTACTGAGTTCGAGCGTTAGTGGGAATGTCATCTGTCACTGGGAGTAACTATGCCTCTCTTTTAAAAGGCAGTAGTCCTGAGTCATTAGTTGTGCTGACAGGAACCTCCGCGTGGTACCCGCTGGGTGGGGTAGTTTTCTGGCCGCCTCAGATAAATCCTGTCAGGACGAGAGCGAACTATTTCTTGCCTTTGGGAATGCCGAACGCGGCTTGTTCTGGTTGTTATCTCCTTTGGTGCTTAGGCGTCTTTGGAGGCACTGGGGCATTGACTGCGAACGGTAGCCTGGTCATGAAAACCGAGCGGGAAGAATGTTGGGGAGAGTCTCACATCCCATTTTCAAGTGGGCAGCTTGATTCGGACCTTCAAATGACTTGCGAGGGGATCATTTCCGAGAAGAGTTCGTTCAGGCTTCGTGGGACTGAGATCGGTCGTGAGTCCTCGAGGCTAGTTTTGGGTCTTTAAAACTGTCCAGTGGGGTCATATAGTGCAGGTGGGTGGCGCGACCTCCAGTTACTTGGGCGCACGAGCGTCAGGGTTCCGCCCATGATTCAGTGAGAGCAGAGCAGCCGTGGGAGTAACCGCCCGCGGTCTGGGGACCCAGTCTCTCATACCAGAATAAACATTTTTGTACAATCACCCCAGAGGGCGCATATGACTATTGTCTCTATGCAGGAAGCATTCTGGACTTCTGGTGGTCCGGGGATGTGGAATGTATTCATGGGCTGAGGTAAGTATGAGGAGGAGCCTATATAGACAATGTTAATTGTCCTTTTCGTTCTTGTCTTGGTCAGCGGGGGGAGCCACCAGGAGAGGATCGTCCGCATTTTAGGTCCTGCTGCCGGCTTAGTTACCTAGAAAATTAAAGAATTGTCCCTGGTCCGAGGATGATGGTTATGTGCTACCTGCAAGGTGTATATGCAATTGTGTGATCAGATCATGTGAGTGGCCATGACCCGCTGAGATGAGGCAGTAATGTACCATTTGCGAAGCGTCCATGTTTTGGTTGAGACCGGAGAGTGGGGGTTGGGAAAACATCTACCGCTGCGGGAGCGTTAATGGAGGGCCTGGCACGAGGTGTTCATTTTCATGCATAGCGTAACTATGGTGTTGTTCGCTCGACAGGGATACTGGCTCCGGGGAGGGAATATAGTACAAATTCTCCTCCTCAACGTGAAACGCTTAAAGCAAATAATGGGAAATTTGCACCTAGGATTTCACCTCACGGGATCAGTTCAACTTAATCCCCAAACACTGATGAAGCATCCGTACTGGGACCGCCGACATGTGCCAGGATATTTCTGTCCAATCACTGGTATACAATACTTTGTCAATTGATTTGGGTTAGTGATCAAACTCATACGAAATAAATGAACCAGTCAATATAAAAGGCTACACTTAATAAAGCAGTTGTAATTTAAAGAATTCAGCAAGATAACTTGACCACAAAACATTAATTATTATTATTATTGTTCCCTTGGGTTCCTAGTGGAAGATAGGGCTTCAACTACACGTCTCCACTTGTTTCTGTCTTCTGCTGTACTTTTCACCTCCACCCATGTTAGTCCATTCTGTTTCAGCTCCTCTTCACTCGATCTCCTCCCTGTCACCCTTGCACTGACGTCCCACTCGCCGCTTCCCTTCCGGGTTCCAATCGAGCGATGGCCGGACGCACGATGTCACCCAGCGGCCTCCTCAGCCAGCGAGTGTCCAATCCATCTCCACTTTCTCCTGCATATTTGTTGAGCGATTGCTTCTTGTTTCGTTTGTTTGTTCCCATAGTTTCTCGTTGGTGATTCTTTCCGGCCATCTGATCTTCAATATAGAGCCAGCGAAGACAGTTGTTGGTAAAGGTCTGCAACAGGCTGTTGGAAATATTCTTCGTGACACACCGGCCAAGTTTCTGATCCATCCGTATAGAAGAACTGACTGACTTGACGTTTGTATTGAAAATCTGAATTTTGTTGTTGATGGTGAGTTGAGTGACGAAGATTTCGAGATTGGTTTCAGGTTGATGAATGTGTTTCTCGCCTTCCCGATTCTCGATTTGACATCTTCGTTCGTTCCTCCTGTAGATGAGACAATGCACCCTAGATGAGTGAATGAAGTAACCTCTTTCAAATCCTTCCCGTTGATGATGATTGGTGCTGGATGTTGCTGCTGTTGTTGCTGTTTTTTTCACAAAACATTAATACTACAAATTTTTTTGTTTCTCAGGACGCTTGTGATTGATCTTGGTTGTTTCGCCATATAAATTATGAAAGTGATGCAGAAGACTAAGGTCAGCAAGCTTAGTGAACACCAAACAGTTTCCATCCTCTCTCCATAGGCTAAAAAACCAATCAATATTGGAAAAATAGCTTGTACTAAGTGTGATTCCGATTAAAAGAAAAGTTAAGCAACTATTCATTTTGAAATAATGGAGAAGATTTGTAGCTCAGGTGGATGATGTTGAACTAGTTGTGCCCTCTGACCTTATGGTTGATTTAATTGCGAGGCTTTCATCATCCTTCAAGACAACATCCTCCTTCACCCGAAGGTTTTTGTATAAAATGAAATCATGAATTCTCCGTGAATGATGTAATTGCGTCTCCTGGAAATGATCATCGTGTCTAGCTGTTGTTAATTTAAGTCTTTATTGATATATGAACGGATAAAATGGACACCAATCGGATCGCCCATATCAGGATTAATAGCTGATGCCATTATGCAAAGATTACAATTAATAGCCCTAAATATTATTAAACCAAAAATCTGGGTACGTGATAATGACGATACGTTTGTAATTATTAAAAGAAATGACTTGGAATACACCGTCAAATTAATTAACAACATATTTGAAGACATTAAATTCACCACGAGAGAAGAAGAATTAGACAACAAAATTCCATTCTGAAATGTCCTAATCAAGGGAACCACCGCAGGAAATTTAGAAACTGTGTGCAAAGATAGTTGGAAGAGTTGAATCACATTGCAACACTCCAGAGTTGAAGAAAATGGAGGAAAAACACCTACTAACCTTCCTCAAAAAGAATGCATATCCTCGCAGTTTCATCAAAAAGTGTTTAAAATCATGTCCCAACACCAACAAGAAACCATTATCAAAGACGACAAGAAAATTCATCCTACCACACATAAAAGATATCTCTGAAATAACAGCTAGAATATTAAAACTGTTTGAAATAGATATACCACACAAGCCAGCCAGCCAGCACAATCACTTCATTTCATATTGTGCCAACTGAAAGATCCAACAGAAATAGAAGATAACATCACTAATACCATTCATAAAATAAATTGTATGAACTGTAACAGACATCACATCGGCCAAACTGAGCGTCCCCTTCGAATCCGAATTCAAGAACACAAATTGGCTGTAAAAAGACATTATCTATATATTCTTTCATATCAATACATACAAATAATTATGGACACCAATTTGATGATTGAGAAAATGCAGAAATTTTAAATAGAGGAAACACCATAATTGCAGTCAGGCAATTTCTAGAAACCCTGTACTCGAACGAATCAGCAATTACAACGCATTATTATAAACCAAATTTACCAGCTAATAAAAATTAAGTCACATGACAAGAAAGTTCAAATTCAAAGTCAATAAATTAACAACAACCAGTGAGGACAGTGGTTGCCAGGAGTCGCAATTCTATCATTCATGGAGAATTTAAATCAGTTCATTTTATGCTAAATCTTGCGCTGAAGATGTTGTCCAGAAGGACAAGGGAAAGCTTCACAGTTAAATCAACCAGCTCAGACAGCATGTAACCGTAGAAGGCGAAAAACTTGGTTAAGGAATGTTTATTTGGATATTGGTATCTCTATATAGCCAAATTATGTACACCTTATCTTCAACAAACCATTTGCACCTAAGAATCTGCCTGAGAATGCTAACCTTTACTGTCGATTAAAAATACTCTATTGCTCAGTAAAACTGTTGCTGAAGTAGTGTTGTAAGACTACAAATGTGGATTTCGCCAATACTGGCATTTTAATGTCCAAAGTACAGCGTGCTGCTACCAACGACACATTTTTCACTTTACTCACAAGCTACTTGCAAATTTACAAGTAGTAACATTTCGGACGCCAAATTTTCCTGGAAAACGTACTGACCGCTGAAATACACTCGCAGATGAGTGTCACAGAGTGATTTATACTGATTAATCAGTTGATAAGCATCTCATACACTCTGATTGCGAACCTACTATAATAAGATCTTATCTGGCGGAGAAGCTGTAGTTAGCGAAATCACAAGAGCATAAACTAACTACCATTATGGCTTCACATATTTGACAATGTCACTTGTCAGGCGATCCACAGCGGAAAACTCAAAAAAGCTTTTGAGGTGAATACAGGAGTCAGAAAAGGCTGTCCACTACTAGTACCGACGATTATATTCCTAATCGCCGTAGACTGGACTATGTTGCGCACCGCACGCGGGGAGCTAGAAGACAGGAAAACGTTAGATCGATAAGAATACTCTAGAAGTTCGGGA